GTAACAATTTTTCAGTTAGAAGCCTATGCTCAGGACTTTTTTCAACAACTTTCCATTATCACAATCTATTTATCACATTTAACAGAATTTATGGGTATAAGCAATAGAATCAAAGTAGCCTCAGCTACATAGCAAGTTTGAGGCCATACTGGGCTATATGAACCCTTATCTAAATAAATAAAGTATGATATGGATAATTAAATCATTAGTGTACTCCATTATTTCAAAGAAAATAAGATATAAGTTAAATAAAAACAAAATCAAACATACTGTTTGATCTCATACTAATTTAACAGGATAAAAGAGAAGGCTATAATATGCACCCGTAAAAAAAGAATGGATGAAAACTTTACTATTTGTGATACTGCTGGATACCCAAAATCTCCAAGCAACTTGATAGACATATTACTTGAAGCAATATTAGAGTCTAGTACATTAAAAACAGCTTTCTTGAGATAAACAACCCAAACTAACAGATTTCCATGAACCTAATGTTACCAGTTCTAGACTGTTAATCCTAATCATTCCATCAACATTGTGTCTAGTCCTTAGAATACCTTCAGAAATAATCCAATTTTATCTGCCTTTATAGCTGTCAGTGTGTTCCCGAGATCCTATTGTCCAAAATATCTGCTTAAGTACTGATGCTGACCATATTTAGATAACATTGTGAAACAGAAAAGAAAACATAGTTGAAGTGGACGTGAAACAAAAGGAAAAGAAAGATGAATTGTTTGGGCGGGGGAAGATCTACAGAATCCACAGAATTACAGATCAGTTAACACTGAAATTATTCTGAGCATATAAGTAACTATGTGGCTTTATCTTTTCTCTAGGATTCCCTTTCCCACAAGGAAAAAAGACACAGTAATAATGCTATTGCTCTCCTAGAATGCAGAATACTATTTTGTGGTCTTTAGCTATGTCATGAACTAGATCACATAGCATATTATCTTTAAAACCTTTCTTGGGCTCTGTGTTCTTCTCTAGATTATTTTCACATTTCCTTTCTCAAACTTTTGAATAGGTAAGCATGTTTTCTGTTTCCCTGTATCACCTCTGTTTCATCCAACAGAGATGTCTCACCACCCCCTCTAACTGCTTAAATGAAGACCACCACAGACCTTGCTGCTGCCAAATCATTGTTCCTTCCTCTTACAAATGCGTCCCTTCATTTCTGCACACTCTTCCTTTCCTGGCTTCTATAACATATCCTTTCCCATATGCTTTTCATGTTCACAAGCTGTTTTCCCCTTTGGATTGCTGTTTCATTATTATCTGCAGATGTAAATTGTGACTCAACCACGGCTACTCAGAGTCAAGCTTACTTTTCCATGTCTCCTCATCACCTCTGTCTTTGCCATTCTCTGGATATATTCCTTGTGAACTATCACATTAAACCCACGATATAAAAGCTATTTTGATGATACTCAAAAGCAAAATCTAGTCTTCCTTAGTTTTATCCATAGCAGTAAATAGTAAATAATAATAATAATAATAATTCAGTTGCTCAATCTAAAAGCTTAACAAAGGAATACTCAAAATCTGCAAATCAAAGCATCACATTGAATCCACCTCCAAAATATAACCTAAATCTATTCTTTTCTCTCCCTAACTACTGCTGCCATCTCTTTCCAAAAATTCTACTATTGCCTCTAAATTGCTGTCTTTACTCATATTCTGATATCCTCATAATCCCACACAGTAGTTAAAATGGTCATCTCAAAAAGAAAATGATGTCACCTTGCTGTCTTTAAAAGTCTATAAAGACATTCAATTTTGTCCATACTTATATAAAGAATAAAGAATAAAAAGACAAAACCACAGCTCTTAGATGAGAGGCTGGAGAAATGGATCAGTGGATAAGAACATTCCCTGCTCAGTCAGAGGATGCAGGTTCAATTCCCAGTACCCGCTTCAGGCAGATCCAGGGATCTGGCACCCTCTTCTGGTCTACAAGGACACAAACACAGAGACATACACATATGCACAATTTTTTTAAAAAGTCTTTTTTAGAAAACTTACATGAAAAGAGAAATAAAATGAAATCACACAAAATGAAAATTTTTATTGAAAAAAGATTTTTTCCCTAATCATGGTTTCCTCACACCTAACTCCTCCCATATCCTCCCTACCTTCTCACCCTCCCAAATCCACATCTTTTCTTTCTCTCTCACTAGAAAACAAATAGGTAACAAACATATAGAAAGAAAGAGAGGATAAGACCAAACAACAAACAAAAAGGGGGAAAGAGAGACAAAGAAAAAGCAGAAGACACACACATAGAAATCCCATAAAAATATACAACTGGAAACTGTAATACACATGTAAAAGACCTGTAAGATTAAAATAAAAATGTGCAAACAAACCAAAATGAGACCAAAAAATATAACTCTATTGGAGAAATTATTAAGGCCACTCCACGTAGTTAAAAGGAAGATTTATTTAGTGGGTAACTTACAAATGAAGGGATGGATAGGTCACGGGGTCTGGGGAAGGTGTATTGCAGTCCAGCGGTGTTCTCTGGAGCTCTGCTCAGTCAGCCTCCACCGCCTAGGGTCCAGAAACAGAGAGCGTGCTGGCCCATCCAGATCTCAAGTCTCCAGGGGCCTCCCTTGGCCCCACCTCATAGGCGTGACAGTTGCCTAAGCCTCAATGGGGGTTAGAACTTCCAGATCAAAGCTGGAATGGCTACCCACTACATCTCCCCCTTTTGGTCTAAATAAGAAGGTTCTAACCTAATACAAGACTATATACAAAGGAATGGTTATCAAATACTGTCCAGGAATAATGAGGGATAATGACCTAGATAAGATGGAACTACACCAATGCGAACAATATCAAGCAAGAAACACATACTAAAATCCAGAGAAGTATAGAGCACAGGAAAATGGAATGTTACAAAGATCATTTCAAAAGGTGTCCTATCCTAAAGAACCTGAATCTAATACTTAATATGTTCTAAGATATTATATACATATACATATATATATATATATATATATA